CCCCCCCCCCCCCCCCCCCCCACACACACACACACCAAAAAAAAAACCAACCCACAAAAAAAAAGAATAATAATAAGAAGAAGAAAAGAAACAGTGTACTAGATTTTTTTGTAGCCGAATCCCAAGTTTAAAGAAGATTGTTGACCTGTGCAAATCTGAATTTTATATCCAAAAATACAATCAGGTTTGCCTGCCTCTTGAGCTGAGGTCAGTTTGTCCTTGCTCATTCAGCTATACTGTTCATGGAAAATTTAGTGCATGCAAGCATTTTGCTGTAGTCAAAGCAATGCGTTACAGAGAACAATATGTTTGATCTATCTCATTTAGATTTTATGGCCATGATTCACTCAAGCAGATAATCTTAGTGCGTTTTGGTTATTAACTTATATTTTACTTGGAAAATGATAGAATTATGTATTGAAATATTCTGTTATGTCCTGATTCAATATTTACTATAACCAAGAATTTTTTGCTGGCTTCTTCTTAGTTATAAGAGCTTTAACAACTTTGATGAATAAGTTAAGACCATATACAAAACTGGCTCGTCCCTTACCCACAAATGCCTTGGCTAGTTTCCATGAACCAAATTTTTGGTCATTGATGTCTGGTTGGCAGTTGCGCAATGAAGTTTGGTCAAATACTTCTGGAACCTTGTAGGCATAGAGTTATTATGTAGTTAATCCCTTTCTTATAGACAATTAATTATGACGAGCACATGCTTAATAGAAGTTGATCTTTACCTAAAATCAAAGTAGTAACTGCTGACAAGACCTCATAAGCTCTTATAGCTTTTATCATGTAATTTGGCCCCGCTATTTTATCTAAATATGCAACAAAAACAACAATGGTATTCCTTGTCAGCTGGTGTTTAATGCTTATCCTTTTAACTGTTCATCTATATCAAAGTTCATATTTTCATCTCATTAAATCGACAACAATTTTCATTTTATCTGTAATGCCTCAAATTCATTGTTCTATTGGTATACTGTTGTCCTATTAACACCTTCATGTCACTCCATCTGAAGTTATTTCCGTATTACTCATGATAAATGCTCCCACTGGCTTTCTATTGGAGAACCACTACCCGAAAGCTATAAGGTCAACTGTTGAGTTGTGGGATATTAGACGTGAGCAAGAGTATTCCAAAAATTTTTCTAACAAGGTATGAAGCAAGTTCTTACAGATACTTGGTGTTCTAGTGCCACTGTTACCATGGGAAACTACTTACTGAATGCATTTGGTAGTAATATTTCAACAAGGGGTACCTACAGTATATCTTTTCATATGGATTAAGGTCTAATTGATTCATTCTAGTGACTCATTTCTTGTGTATCATTTTGTAAGTTCCCAAACTTCTTTTATTTGGACACTTTTCTTGGTTGAAGTTTTTTTGTCGTGGCCAATAAGGTAGAGTTTTCGCTTCAGCTATCTTATGGTCTTCAAAGTTCTGCAACATAATTGCATGAAGCAAAAACATTAGAGCACCTCATTGTTGGCTATAATTAGTTATACAAATTGCTCAAAATTTTCCCATGGTCCCTTCTCATGCTAAATTGTTCTCTGTCAAAGGAATAATCATATACATATGCAAATGAACATGCATGTGCATTAACCAAACGGACACATATGCTCCTGTACATGAGAGGAAGTATATTATCCTGATAAAGATACTTCCAAATCCTTTACATGAGCACTTCAAGTAAGGTTTTAAATATCGGATATGAGGAAAATATCAGACGGCTAAAATCAATATCGGATTGCAACTGTCGAGGATATGTAGTAAACATTGGAATGCCATATTGGGTGATGTTCATATATAATATAATATTCTAATCATACAAAAATGCCAATAATATATATTTAGGATCACTAACCAATTATAGAAACTTATTTTGGGAAAAGTTCTAAAATTTTGCTAAAAACTTCAAAGTTGGAAATTTGCTAAAAACAATAAAGAAAATTTTCATAATTGTATTGTTTGGCGCATGCCCTATAAAAGGAACTATCGGCTATGCTGGGATATATCGCCCAAAAATTGCCAAAAAACAGTGAAGGGTATTGAAACCATATTGTTTTGCGGCAAGCCTTGTACAAGATATATCAACCGATATATCAGATATATTTGGGATATTTAAAACAGTGGCTTCAAGCGTCCTAGAAGGAAAGAAAAAAAATTTTATTCTAACAATGTATGGAAAGCAGTTTCAAACAATATTTGAAATGCTATTAAAAGTTTTAGAACCAAATTAAAGATGCATGGCTGCGGGTAAGAACATTTAAGCCTTATTGCATGAGTTGCATTTTACTCATCCATGTTAGGACATGATTGCGGAGAATGACATAGAGAATAGGAAATATCTTGTATCTGAGGATGGACACTTATAGCTTTTCATGGAATTGCCTACCAAGTTAGGATGTTGCTTGGTGAACATACATACCTTAAGAGCAAGGAATATGCTGAATGTTGTGAAGACAACTTGATAAGATTCCACGATGTCAAGTATGAACTGTGGCTGTACCATGTGTTAGTTAAATGCCTTGAATGCGAGGCAAGACACACCATACAAGTGAAGCACCTCAAAAAGTGTTGTATGTTGTCTGAAGCCACAAACTTAAGGTTTGTACACTATCAAAATAAAACATAATGAAAAAAAGCAATGGTTTTCTGAAGCTGAAGTATACTAACAAACTTAGCAGTAGTGTACGTTACGGCAGGATTTGACCTTTCCAAACTTACCTCCATGTTAAACTATGGCTAGAGTGTTTCCACATCTTGAATCTGTCCCCATCTGGTTAGATTGGAGCAATATTTTGACTTAAGGCTGGTCTTCCAAATGTCACAATAAACTAAATGATTCTGATTGATGGAAAAAATACTGGACCAAGGTGTATAGTAGGGGCGAAAAACTAAGGCACAGCTTATTTACCAAGCCTCAACCAATACATATCAGGAAATTTACATGTCGATGCCAGTGATTCAGTGGAGCATCTTTTATTAGTGGCAATAGCCAATGAATGTTTATGAATGCCCAACATACTTTCTTTGTGTCGATAAATAACATGACAGTATAAACTATCTTAACTACTGGTGAAGTTAAAAGATTATACCAAATTAACTTTCCATGTCTCGAGATGCTATAGGCAATATAGAACAGATATGTTGCTGACAGAAAAATAAAGTGGTATGACATGATTACATTTTCCTGCGTACAGGTTGTGATGTACATGTTCACTATTTTGTCCTGTGAGTATTCTCTTTTCCCATCATCTTCTCTAGCATGCATTGTGATGTACATATTCACTATTTTGTCTCGTGAATATTCTCTCTTTCCATCATTTTCTTCATGATGAAAGTATACTTGCATGTGAAATTATTTATTCTGAGCCCCCTTCACATATTTCATTCTTTATTAAGCTAATGACTTATGAGTGCATACTTTCGTGGCTTGCAGTTTTTTGTCCTAAGAGATTATGCAAAAGACACTCTCTCTTTAAGATGGCGGTCTTGGATGACAAGCTACTACATGGAGCGCTACCTAAAGAACCAGACATTTTATAAAATTCAGTCACAATCAATAATTGACAACCCAGATCAGCGAATTGTTGATGATTTAAGTGCCTTTACTGGAACTGCACTTGCTTTCTCATTAACTCTCTTTAATGCTGCTGTCGACTTGATATCATTCAGTAATATCCTATTTGGGATTTATCCACCACTTTTTGTTGTACTCATTGTTTACTCGCTAGGAGGCACGGCTGTTAGTGTGTTTCTTGGAAAGGTGACACTAATACATTCTTCTTTGCTTGTATGTTGTTTAGTTTTCTCGAAGATTTGATTCTCTGTTTTAATCAAAAATTGCACCTCTTTTCAGGGGCTAGTCTCTTTAAATTTTATGCAAGAGAAGAAGGAAGCAGATTTCCGCTATGCACTTGTACGGGTTCGAGAAAACGCTGAGTCAATTGCTTTTTATGGTGGTGAGGAGAATGAAAGGCAACTTTTGCTGGATCGATTCAAGAGGGCTTTTGAAAACTTAAGTGTATGTCTCTACATTTGATTTTGGAGATGGAACTATAGAAGTTATTTCAGTTTTATTTCAATAACAGTTATGCTAAACAGGTTTTACTTAATAGACCAGCTGTTAAGCAAGCTGGAAGGGTGGTTGTTTATGTCCATTCAATTATTTTTAATGAACTTACACTTTTGATCAAAATTGGTTCGTTTAAGTTTTCAAATGACCCTGTTCCAGCTCTCAACAAGCTGCATTTAATATTCTATCAAATAATGACAATGGCTGAGCAGTTGTCACAATTCTTAGATACAGATTTAAGTGTTGATCAGTATTGATAGTAGGGAATGTTTTACATATTCCAATAAAGATTCATCAATGTTATGTTCAGTTTAGACATGGTTAGGTCTACCCACTATGGCAAGGATGGGGGTGATAACTTGATGATTAGATCTATGATGTAGCTAAGCGGTTTTATCTGTTATTTGTTGATCTTCAACCTTGTCTTTCCCAAGTTAGCATTGGCTACTATTCATTTTGCACGGGGTAAGGTCAGTTCTAAATTTGGAGCCGTAACTATGAAATAAGCTTCTTTTCATTGAGTGGTGACTTCTCGCTCGCAAAGTGACTTGGCCTTGACGTTTTGTGTTAGCTTATGGCCTGTTTGGATTTGCAGGGGGTGAAGGGAAGTTAAGGGAAACTGAGAGAAGGGAAGGGAAGGGAAGGGAAGGGAAGGGAAGGGAGTTCCCTTCCCCTTGGTTACACCCCAATTTGGGGGGTAACAAATTTTATACTATTAGGGGGTGAACCAAGGGGAACTAGGGTGAATTAACTTCACCTCCTAAGTGTTCCCAAACAAGGTGAATGGAGGTGAATGGTTCCCCTAACTTCCCTTCACCCTCATTCCCCTCAATCCAAACAAGCCCTTACTGAATCTGCTAGAAAGATAGACGTAGAAATCTACTGTTGCAGCATCACAGCATAACTCAGTTTAATATGTTCTTATTTCTACATGTGTCACATAGATCACCACATCTTCTGAAGGCTTTAAAACTAATTAATATGGAGGACAAAAGGTTTAGTAAAGAGCCAATGGGCATGTGCAGGGAATTAATGATTGAATTTGTCATGTTATGAGTTGAGATGAAAACTAGATTTGGTGAGGGCCAATTTGTGATATGTGCTTGCTTAATGTTACTTGGACTTAAAATTACCGCAGGATCTGTATCGGAATCTTCTTTTTTCTGCTTGAGACATTCTATCAGATTTATTGCTGTAAGAATTCCAATTGTTTTAGGGTTAGTTGCACTTTAATATCCTAAAGTTTCAAGATTTTTAACTTTGATACTCTAAAGTTTGAAATTTCCTAAATAATATCCCAAAGTTTCACAAAGTTTTTTTTTACTTTAATACCTTTCATATGTCACCGTTCAAAATTTTGTTTAGAAAACAACACAAGATTATCACATGATAACATTTGGACTTATATAACCTAAACTGAGAAATCCCTCTGAATTCTCTATTATTCTTCCTTTCAATCTAGAACACTGAAATTTGGTATTGTACAATAGCAAAAAATTATCCCTATTTCAACATTGACAATAAAAATGGAAAGGAAACCCCTAAATTGAAAGGAACAAACGAAAGGGAAGGAGTTTTGGCAGAGATTTTTTTTAGGGGTAAAATTTGATGTCAATGTAATGGAAGCCATGAATGAGAAAGGGTGAAACGTTGTAATATTATTTGGGAAAATTTAAACTTCAGTATACTGGAGTTAAATATTGATGAAACTTTAGGGTATATGTGCAATTAACCCTCTTTTCAGTCTGTTCCTGTGTATGATCTATCTGAAGTGGTAGACATGACACTTTTGCCATGTTTCAGGGTCCTCTGCATGGTTCTTGACAAATTCTTTAGCAGCATGACCTGGAACAAGCAGAATATAGTTACTTTTGAGATATTTCATAACATAAATTCTGCATGAAATTTAGTTTGCACTTTCTGTGTCAGGGAACCTCTGGTCTGGCCAATATTTTGTATTAATGTGGAGGATTTATTGCAGAAACTATTGATTTCTTCTCGAAATTTGGAATTCTTCACCAGTGGTTACCGCTACCTGATTCAAATTCTTCCTGCTGCTGTTGTTGCTCCTATGTATTTCTCTGGAAAAATTGAGTTTGGAGTGATCAACCAGTCTGTCTCTGCTTTCAATCATATCCTTGGTGACTTCTCTCTCATTGTGTACCAGTTTCAGGCAATCAGTGCCTTCTCAGCTGTAATTGATCGTCTAGGTAAAGATATTCTTTTTATCATGTGGATTATTTTACTGCCATCAAGGTTGTGTGGTTACTTACTAAAATTGTTGTACGAACCTCATGATACTTGCCTAGGTAAGTTGGTTTCATGACTTTTAATATTATTACAAGCATGTCCTTTCTTGTCGGCACTAGCATCATATTATTTGTGCTAAAGTATAATATGATGTTTACGCTTATGATAATCCTTTAATTATTTTTATTTGATTTGATTTTTATTTTTTTTAACATTTTATGCAGTAATGAGCAAACTACTATCTGTTTCCACAAAGAAAAATCTCGAGACTGGTTGTGAAATGCTTATGCAAGTAATAAGAAACTATTGTTTAGTTTAAACACCAAAATTCTAGGGACACGCTGCGGCAATTACTAAAGCTGGACTTTCTTGTTTTAAGTTCTAAATTTGATTCGTTGATGGAGAGAAAGGCAAATCTCTTCCCTTTGGCTCAGATCCTAGATGTAGAAACCAGATCAGAAATCAATTGTTTCCGGACTGAGCCCTTACAATAATAGGGTGTTTACCTTTTTTTACTCCCCAACTGTCTCTGCTAGTTTCAATTGGAAAAAATCATTGCTAAATTCATAAATAATAGGATTTTTTTCCTGACCTATAAGAAACTGAGCAGTTAACATTATTAGAATTTGGAAATTATATTTTTGTTTTTCCTTAATTGGACGAGTTTCTGCTAAATCTTAACATCATTGAATAGAAAAGGTAGAATCAGGAAAACTATTAACCATCTGATGGTGACAGGAACGACGTACGCCGCACGCGCACACACCCCTACAAATGCGCGAGTGCGCACACGACCCACGCGCACACGCTTAAGCACGCACACACCCGCATACGTTCAAGTGTAGACACACACCAGTCGTGCATGCAAAGATTCCTGATACATAAAAAACAGCCACTTTTGACCCTACCCATTTCTCTCTCTTCAGGCCAATTCCGTACCCAAGTTTAAAATAATAGATGGGTATCCATAAATGATAATTACTGCATAACATGGTGTTTCCATACTCTTCAAGCGATTAGCTTGCAGTCGTACAGTTTAATATTATTGTTCAAGTGTAATTACATCCTAATCTTAAGTTTTCTTTTTATTTACCGTCACATGATTACTTTTCTTTATTTAGGTGAATTTGATGATGTTTTGGATGATAGACAATCTCCTTACATCTCCAAGCCTGATGTTTCCTCCAAGATTAACATATTGTATAAGGATGTAATGTATGCTTCTATGGGTTCAAATGGATCTATACCACAGGGTGGGTGTGGAAAATTACTAGAGGTTGAGAAATTGACATTACAAACTCCAAGAAGCAGAAACATCCTTATTACAGACTTTTCGTTGGAGATATATAATGGTGATCACCTTCTGGTAAGCGATTTTCTTGCATTTACGTAATTGCTTCATGCTAATTTCAGGATTCAGAAAGCAGCACTTCAGTAGGATTTTTCTTGGTAACCAGGTGATGGGCCCTAGTGGGAGTGGTAAAACATCACTCTTAAGAGCTCTAGCTGGTCTGTGGAATACTGGTGAAGGTAATATTACATTCTACATAACAAATGGAGCACAAAGTCAACTCTCCGCCTCTTCAAATATTGATTCTTCTGGAGCACAGTCTGCACAGAATATTTTGGAGGTAGACAAGCTTTCAGATCTTAGAAACAAGAGAGCCAAGGATGTCTTTTTCCTTCCTCAAAGGCCTTACATGGTTTTAGGAACACTACGCCAACAATTGCTTTATCCAACATGGAGTAATGAACCACTCCCTACTCCAAGTAACTCTCAACAGCCTGGTAAGTTTACACACACTGCTGATGTCATAAAAATTCCTTTCTAGAAGCAAATCTTTGAATTCTTTACTAGTTCAATAATGGAAGCCATGAATGAGAAAGGGTGAAACGTTGTAATATTATTTGGGAAAATTTAAACTTCAGTATACTGGAGTTAAATATTGATGAAACTTTAGGGTATATGTGCAATTAACCCTCTTTTCAGTCTGTTCCTGTGTATGATCTATCTGAAGTGGTAGACATGACACTTTTGCCATGTTTCAGGGTCCTCTGCATGGTTCTTGACAAATTCTTTAGCAGCATGACCTGGAACAAGCAGAATATAGTTACTTTTGAGATATTTCATAACATAAATTCTGCATGAAATTTAGTTTGCACTTTCTGTGTCAGGGAACCTCTGGTCTGGCCAATATTTTGTATTAATGTGGAGGATTTATTGCAGAAACTATTGATTTCTTCTCGAAATTTGGAATTCTTCACCAGTGGTTACCGCTACCTGATTCAAATTCTTCCTGCTGCTGTTGTTGCTCCTATGTATTTCTCTGGAAAAATTGAGTTTGGAGTGATCAACCAGTCTGTCTCTGCTTTCAATCATATCCTTGGTGACTTCTCTCTCATTGTGTACCAGTTTCAGGCAATCAGTGCCTTCTCAGCTGTAATTGATCGTCTAGGTAAAGATATTCTTTTTATCATGTGGATTATTTTACTGCCATCAAGGTTGTGTGGTTACTTACTAAAATTGTTGTACGAACCTCATGATACTTGCCTAGGTAAGTTGGTTTCATGACTTTTAATATTATTACAAGCATGTCCTTTCTTGTCGGCACTAGCATCATATTATTTGTGCTAAAGTATAATATGATGTTTACGCTTATGATAATCCTTTAATTATTTTTATTTGATTTGATTTTTATTTTTTTTAACATTTTATGCAGTAATGAGCAAACTACTATCTGTTTCCACAAAGAAAAATCTCGAGACTGGTTGTGAAATGCTTATGCAAGTAATAAGAAACTATTGTTTAGTTTAAACACCAAAATTCTAGGGACACGCTGCGGCAATTACTAAAGCTGGACTTTCTTGTTTTAAGTTCTAAATTTGATTCGTTGATGGAGAGAAAGGCAAATCTCTTCCCTTTGGCTCAGATCCTAGATGTAGAAACCAGATCAGAAATCAATTGTTTCCGGACTGAGCCCTTACAATAATAGGGTGTTTACCTTTTTTTACTCCCCAACTGTCTCTGCTAGTTTCAATTGGAAAAAATCATTGCTAAATTCATAAATAATAGGATTTTTTTCCTGACCTATAAGAAACTGAGCAGTTAACATTATTAGAATTTGGAAATTATATTTTTGTTTTTCCTTAATTGGACGAGTTTCTGCTAAATCTTAACATCATTGAATAGAAAAGGTAGAATCAGGAAAACTATTAACCATCTGATGGTGACAGGAACGACGTACGCCGCACGCGCACACACCCCTACAAATGCGCGAGTGCGCACACGACCCACGCGCACACGCTTAAGCACGCACACACCCGCATACGTTCAAGTGTAGACACACACCAGTCGTGCATGCAAAGATTCCTGATACATAAAAAACAGCCACTTTTGACCCTACCCATTTCTCTCTCTTCAGGCCAATTCCGTACCCAAGTTTAAAATAATAGATGGGTATCCATAAATGATAATTACTGCATAACATGGTGTTTCCATACTCTTCAAGCGATTAGCTTGCAGTCGTACAGTTTAATATTATTGTTCAAGTGTAATTACATCCTAATCTTAAGTTTTCTTTTTATTTACCGTCACATGATTACTTTTCTTTATTTAGGTGAATTTGATGATGTTTTGGATGATAGACAATCTCCTTACATCTCCAAGCCTGATGTTTCCTCCAAGATTAACATATTGTATAAGGATGTAATGTATGCTTCTATGGGTTCAAATGGATCTATACCACAGGGTGGGTGTGGAAAATTACTAGAGGTTGAGAAATTGACATTACAAACTCCAAGAAGCAGAAACATCCTTATTACAGACTTTTCGTTGGAGATATATAATGGTGATCACCTTCTGGTAAGCGATTTTCTTGCATTTACGTAATTGCTTCATGCTAATTTCAGGATTCAGAAAGCAGCACTTCAGTAGGATTTTTCTTGGTAACCAGGTGATGGGCCCTAGTGGGAGTGGTAAAACATCACTCTTAAGAGCTCTAGCTGGTCTGTGGAATACTGGTGAAGGTAATATTACATTCTACATAACAAATGGAGCACAAAGTCAACTCTCCGCCTCTTCAAATATTGATTCTTCTGGAGCACAGTCTGCACAGAATATTTTGGAGGTAGACAAGCTTTCAGATCTTAGAAACAAGAGAGCCAAGGATGTCTTTTTCCTTCCTCAAAGGCCTTACATGGTTTTAGGAACACTACGCCAACAATTGCTTTATCCAACATGGAGTAATGAACCACTCCCTACTCCAAGTAACTCTCAACAGCCTGGTAAGTTTACACACACTGCTGATGTCATAAAAATTCCTTTCTAGAAGCAAATCTTTGAATTCTTTACTAGTTCAATGAACCTATGAACACTGATACACATGAAGATCTATGCTTTTCACTTGTCAGCCTCAATAGCTATACTAGATATTTGGTTGTATTGTTGGATTACATGAGTTAATAACTAGCTGCAAAGGTTATAGAGGAAGGCATGCTGCTCCCTCTAATTATTTGTTTCTTGGAATTCAGTGTCTTAAAGATTCGTGTGTTGCTAGTGGATGGTAAAAGGATTGTATGAAACTTGATTGCATAATTAGTTGTCACTTAACAGTTACATCTGGATTGGATCTTTTTACCTGAAGTCTGGCAATGATCCGGTCATTACAGCTGAGTTTAAACTAGTGGCAATTTATTTTTGTAGTTGATTAGGTTCAAGACTTGATCAGTCTTTTCACAAGATAACAGTATGATTTAAAGCCAATTTGATGGGTGATCCTAAATTCCAAATATTAGTCCATAACCTAATGCCTTATTGGCAAATGTCACAAGTAGGTTGCATCGGTAAGTATACAGGTGTCACATACAATAAGGATAGGTGAATATAGAAAAGTAAAAAAAAAAAGAAATCACGGAATGCATTCTCCAAGGATACATGAAATAAATAGTATGCTGTTTGTATATTGCAAAAGCAATAATACAATCAAGATTCAGCTATGACTTCTATCTGTATATTTAATATCATTAGCCATCCTGCAAACAAAGGATACATGAAATAAATAGTATGCTGTTTGTATATTGCAAAAGCTATAATACAATCAAGATTCAGCTATGACTTCTATCTGTATATTTAATATCATTAGCCATCCTGCAAACAAAATAAATATAAACAAAATCGAGATCATATATACATTGTTTTAAGTGGGATGTGGCATATAATTTGCTGGCCCACATGATTCCTACGAGTATAAATACGTAAAAATAATTTGACGCAACGTTGATATTAATCATATTTGATGCATGAGAACTGGTGCATTATGGTGTTACAAACGGAAATATTATATATTTTTGAAAGATTATATAGGGAACTGATGATCAAAAGGCCCAAGTCTTACAATCATTACATTGTTGTTTCGATCAAGCAGATGCATATTTATCAAGTACATACCAGGTAATATTTCACTTTAATTGTGGTTTGTCTATGAACATAATTGACTATTTCCTTCTTTGATAAGGAGTTAAACAACTAAATTGGCTACCATTTTCATTTCAAAGGTTGAAAGTTGGTGAGCAATAGCAGTTTAAGATACAGATCTGGAAGCAAAGCATGTTCCATTCTAGCGCAATGGAAATTTCCAGCATAAACATTGTACATACGGAATCCAGATGGGTATAGAGTAATCTGATCTAATCTAAATCTGGACTTGTGCTCTCTATCCTCTTAATTAGCTACAACTAATTCTAATCACAGTTATCATCACTATAAGCCCTTTTCCTAATCAGAATGATTCACCAGGGTGTATGCTCAGTCCAGAAACCACAAGAGACCTGACCGTTGTTGATCTGATGAGTTGGTGCTAAATTTTCGTGGCTGAAGCAGTTATGGAAAAAAACCAACCTGCTAAGTAATCAACGATTGAGATTAAAAGTAGTGGTCTCTCCACTACTTTTTTGTAGTGGAGAGGATCCAAATCCAGCCTTCACTGTACATACGGGATTGATGCATAATCCTGTTGATTACTTGTTCCCATTGCTCAATTAACTTGTTTAAGACTTTTCTCACTCAGTTTGTAGTATTGAAGTACAATAAAACAGACTTGTAAGTGCAACCGCCATTATTTTCACAGTTATACTTATATCTAGTTATATCTGTAATCCATTTAACCTTTCAGAATCACCTGCGCAAGTAATGGAACAAAATATACCAAAACTAACAAGTAGTTGCCTAAAGCAACGTTGTTTGTTTTAAAACATATAAGATAGCGTATTTTCACATCTAGCTCTCCATCATGCTCAATGTGTTGATGCATCGGAATTTAGCGGTTTCTGGTTGCTGCATTGTGTTCTCAAAACTTCACTGAAAACAGTGGTTATGATGTTCATTTTTGTATGTATTGTAGACAATATGGTTTTGGTTGGTTCATGCATTATCCACCGATATTTTCAACACTTTCCATTGTTAATTTTTGTAAGCTAGAAGATAATACCAAGTTTGTTTCGTATAGCCACGTATATGGAAGAAAGCATTACTAATCAAATTCCTGCAGAATTTTAGTCTTTGTGTCATAGTAGGTAATGGAAACTTCAGAATCGTTGTATGCCTGAGGCTATTTGCTGTAATTCATTTCAGATTCTCTTCCCTTTTTGTTGCAAGCATCAAACTCAGAACATGACATATCAGAGAGGCCTACGGCTGAGGATCTGATCGAGGTGCTAGAGGTTGTTCGTCTTGGTGATATTTTGACACGTTTCAATGGCCTGGATTCCATGTATGAGTGGTCTAGTGTGCTTTCACTTGGTGAGCAGCAGCGTCTTGCATTTGCTCGTCTGTTACTCTCAAAACCGAAGCTGGTTTTACTGGATGAATCTACTAGTGCATTAGATGAAGCCAATGAGGTATTGATGATAAACAACTCTTTCGCATCTCCTGGTTACATTTCAAGTGTCAGCATGTTAGTCGCTTACTCAAAACTTACATCTAACGTGAGCAGAATACGTTTTGATGAGTTTCAGGTTCAGAAATTAATATGCTGATGAAGTAAGAAATTTTGAGTATCTATTTCTGAATCAATAAGTTCCATTTTATGAGTGCATTGTTGACCTATATAGGGTACAAGTTTGATTTTACTTATGAAACTAGAGGTACATTGGTAGCACACTAGCATTAAAAGTCTTTCCTTTTGGTATAGATAAATGTTTTATTGCTTGAATTATCTCTCTGCTGGGCAAACGACGATGGAGACTGTTTTTTTTTTTTTGCTCTCTCTCTCTCTCTTTGACATTGTAATTTTTTACTGTATTTTTATCTTTGAACAGTCAAATTTTAATAGAAATATCAGAAATGCACTTTTATGTCATTCATCACTATAAATAACATGATTTCGTAACTTACATGTAATATTCGCTACTGAGACCTTTTATTCTTACTGTTGAATATTTCAGGCTCATTTGTACAGTCAGATTGAAGCTGCAGGCATAACATACGTAAGTGTTGGACATAGAAGCACACTCTACAAGTACCACAACAAAGTCTTACGCATATCAAAGTTAAATTCGGAGGACATGGGCCAACAAAATTGGCACCTTGAGCTCATCAACCGAAACACTAGACCAGAAGAGGCTACACCAACCACATACCTAGGGAAGAAACAAGAATGAACAGGACTTCTGAAGAGATGGTAATACCCTATTCAGAGACTTAAACATGCAAACACAGGTAACCCTTCTCTAGAATATGATTGGAAGATAACAGAAGTGTTCACCCATATGTAATGTGGATACATTATTGATGAATACATATGAAGATGCTGCCCTGCGACGAGACCTTGATCAATAACTTCGAATGCTAGAGAGGATGTGGACTTGGTTGCAAAATTCATGACAGGAGTCTATATGAGATCTGGTTGGTAGTTGGGTTTTCAAGTGGAACCAATATGATGCGACTATATGCATTAATTTCATGTATAATATGTTGCTATTTTTGAGATTGGGTAGCGCAATTTGGATGATGCCATTTGCTTAATATAAATGATTTAGATTTTTTTAAGGTTCCAACTTGATGAATGTTGATGCCAGTTCTGTACATCGATCAATGTTGTATGAACTATTAGTGGAGAAAGGGTCTTTTTTGTTCTTCATCCTGTCTTGTTATCTTTCAGAATTTTAAGCGATGGACTAGTGTTTTCCAGATGGTAGAAATAGCATTTATTCATAGAGTTATCTGATGTTGGAAATTGATGTGTCAATAAAGTCTCAGAAATGTGCGCGTGCTTCTATCTTAATGGAAGGAATGTAGGTTTATTTATCCATCACTTCCTGAGTTTCAAGACAAAGTAAACTCTGAACCAGAGGGGCAAACGGTTTGTATATGGCTCTGATATGATTCATATCATATCTGTATTTGCTTGCCATTTACAAATACGGATAAGGATATGGATATGCCTATGTAAAGAAAACTCATCCTCATATATGCTAAAATCGGATATGGATACAGATATACATGCAAATATATGTATGTGGATATACACGTGGATACAAAACGGATATGAGAAAATAAAATAATATTAATAAAATATAGTTCATATGGTAGAAGTGAGTACATTAATATGTTTGTCATATATGAAAACCTGACATTGGATCCCTTGATCATCAAACTAGTTTCAAATTTATTAATTTAAGGACTAGTTTCAAATTTATTAATTTAAGGATTAAAACAATTGTAGTTGTATGACCAACATATATTCGGATATTTGAATACGGATCCGGATATTTCACTACAAAATCATATCCGTGACCATGTCCTCTCGGTTATAGATTTGAGTAATGATATGCATAGGACATGGATACGGATACGGTTTAGCATCCTTACTCTAAACACAATAAATATCTATTATGCCATGATGGGAAACTGCTTTTGATGTCATTTTATGTTGCGCTTCCATTCTGTCAAAGCTTGATCTATCATTGTTTCAAACATGTTAAACCCCACAAATTTGGCTCTTTATCTTTTTCTGCCATTTGACAGGGTTATAGTACCTTTCATGTTGGAATCTATCATCATCTTGATCATACCTTCTCCATTGTCCTCTACAATAGAGCTCTGTCTTTTATTGATAAACAGTATTATCTGGTTGAATTCTGTTTTCAAGCGTTGCCGTTGCACTTGCTAAATCGTTAGCAAGCTAGTCTATGGTGTGTAATGTTTCCTGCAACTAAAAGGCTTGTATTTGCTAATTACAACTTTCCTTCAAGTGATATGATAAACTTTAGCACATTTGCATATTTGATCTTGTTAGAATTAATATAAAACTATAATCATTGATCCTCACCATAACTTCGGAGTTTTGGTGTAATGTTTAGAGGGATTAAGCCTAAGATGGTGTCGGAGCAACCCAGGTTTAAATCCCACCAGCCACAAATTTTAAGCAGATTTTTAAAAACTTTACACCGCTGTGTGAGTCTAGATTTCAACACATAAAAAATGATGTTTAACCCGTAGACGCATGTTAGAATCAATATAATATTGTAATCATTAAGCATGTTGCACTCAGTCAAAATAACATCCGATCACAGCATAACTAATCTAAATATCATAATCAGAAACACATACGTATTCCAGCTTAACTAACAAGAAAAAATCCAAAACCTTCAAATAACCTTCACCGAAATTAGTCAAAATAATCAGATAAATAATAAAGAAATTAAGAATAGTCACATCAGGATAAAGTTAAAATTCAAAATTGATTCTCACCATTAGATTGAACCTAAGATGACGGACTCCCCACTGAGTTTATATCCAAAGATTTTTTTTTTTTTCCAATCTCGCTATGATTTGTAGATATCATTTTTTGGTGTGACACTTAACACCTGATTTTATCCTACTGTTTGTTCCACTCCGACAAGGACATTGATGGATTTTTTTTCTCTTTTTTGAAGCGATTGATAAATGGATTGGAATCTTTGTTGCTCCTGCAATTATGATATTATAGGTAATTTCCACTGACTGAATTTTCGTTTTCTCTAAACTAGGACACTTTCCCCGAACAAGGTTAAAACAGATTTGAGCAAGGAAAGTACTGCCAATTTTTAGTTTATTTTATTAATCTGTCATTTAGATCAAAACCTATTAAAATTAAATTTGTCGATTTCTTTCTTTTATATAAAAATTTTGAAATATTTATATATATTCCTGATTATGAACTACTAAAACTCTCCTACTCTATTTAAAATCAGGATTCATAGTTCCAATTTCAATTCATTTTTCAAGAGTTGCTAACACACCTACCGTAATGAGACTCCAATGTGAACAAGCCAATGACTTATAATGGTGGAAAATACTTACCCCTCTTATTACAGGACAGCTGATGTTACACTTACACATATTAGACTGGTCAATTAGGATCACCTTTGCTAAAAGGTAATGATAAATAAAAACTCTTTAAATTCAATTATTCTTTTTTATTCACAATTTTCTCGTCCCGAATCTCATAGATAATATCGGGTTTATGTCTCTGCTCTGCATCTAATCATTAGTTCTCAGATTTCCTAACCCTATAAAAATAATGTTGGTTAATTCTACTGCAGTCAGGTTGGCATAATTTCGATTTAATATAATAATACTAATGACACATAATATACCCTCCAACATACCTCATACTCGAGTAGGCCTAAAACCTTAGCCGATCTTAAGTCACTTAGCTGTTTCACATGCTTTCTCCCTTTAGTCTCGGATGCATAGGCGAAAACTCTACTTTGCCGTTAAAACCTCTTTAATATATAATTACTGTTATTAACTCAAGAGCTACCCTCTATATATTATCCCCTTCTTAATACTATCAGTTAAGTAAATTGTATAAATATTTGATCTTCCATAGATCACGATCAAGCCGTAACTTCATCGATATAATAATTAAACAATATGCTGCATGCTAATAAGAAATTTATTTATTATATGACTGCAAGCTATATTACAAACTACATATTGAAGTATGTCTCTAACTTAAATACAGGTTTAAGTATTCTTGCGTCCATACATGCAACGCTCTCCTTGCTATCAACACGAAAACAATGTTGTTGGTCTGTTGACTATTCATGACAGATCCACTGTTGAAACAGTATAAGGAGCCATAACATCCAAGATTTGACTTTTCTCAATCCAAACAAAGTAATATTACAGAGAAGAGGCAATGGTGTTTTATAGAAATTCTGAAGTAACCTTATTAAGCACATGCTTTGTTTAAGTTCCATTAATAGCCATGATGAATCATCGTAGTGATGAGACGAACTACTGCAGGTTTATGGTTGACTTTTATCCCCTATGACGCAACATAGAGTTCCCAATTCGCGAATAACATAATACACTCTCCCATAGAGACATAGGATCGTGAATGGATTGCAATAGTTGCTCAAGTATTAGCCTATGTAGGGCCAGCATTTGAGAGGATAATATAATACGCTGAGGAATTGATATAATAATTAAATGTCGGAGGCCAAATCTAGGCCTGCCCTACCTCTAGGAATTACGGAATAGTAATTGAGCAAATGTGACAATTCGCCGATGGGCAGATGTCCATCGGCATTTATATGTGCACTAAATAGAATGCCAATTATTGAAATCCCGCACGAATGCTGCGAGTTTTAAATAACAGCAAGGTAGTTCCAGGCATTCTCTTATTGGGTGGCACATTAAGATGCCGTGACGACGGGGACCACTAGATTACTTTTCTACGGAAAAGGTTCACTATCAGGAACTGTTATGGAGTGGCAATTTAGGTTTTTTTTTTAAAACCTTTTGCTGGTCCCGGCTCACATTCCATGATATATTTAGATAAGCACTAGATACTGTTCAGACCATCATAACAACAGGACCTGTCTATCACACTTCTACCAGTGGGCTGGGAATGACACATGCGACGTTCGAAAGTGAGCACGATGCAGTTCTTACTAATTCAACTCTTCTTTACTAGCCTTGAGGGTTAGGAAAGCTGGTGCCATGGACAATAGTCTTGCGACTAGGGTGAATACTTTGATGAATGTAAGTCGTACTCACGGAAGTCTGCATGATCTAGGACAGGCACAATTGGACGATACCATGTGTATTATACCATGTGTACTGCACGGCAAATAATTGTTTATTCCGATGACAAATGACTCCACAGTCTGAATTTGTCAATTGCGAGCTATCCTTATCTTTACTGCATGTGATAATAGGGTTCGAGATCAGTTCTTGCGCGGAAGGCACCACATCATCGGATAAGCTCGTCAGCCACCGAGGGGCTTTTCGTCACCAATATATCACTCACATACGCAAGCAGAGTTTGTGGGCGTATTTCATAGGAAGTTAATGTATCATCGCTCGAATCACTGATCTCTTTTCGGCACTGTAACAAAGAAAGCGATGACAATGTTACTGTCCTACGGCAAAAGAAAGCATCAAGAATCCATGCCATGCACAAGCTATATCTTGATAGCTTCGTTTTATTTTTGTCAAAACATTAGGCGCATTAAGCATCGAGTTATACCCAGTCCTACTACATCTCTCATCGAGAACTCCAATTCGCTTCAAGAATGTAGTTATAAATTCATTAAACAAAACTAGCTTAGCTACATCCTTCTTGATTCCCTAATAAGATCCTCGACTCCCTCTGGCAATGTGAAATTAGAGCAGACAGCAACTGGGGCCCGAGATTGTAGAGCTCGCGGCAAAAGTCCGCGGTGTTTGAAAGTGTTGGCGCGCAGCCCGGAGCGGTAGACTGTCTGGCAGACCATCAGCTGCTGAAAAGAACAAGCACAAACGCGATGTATTTCGCCAAGTGATCGGCGACGAGGACTACTCGTAGCAAACAATGCTCGCTGACCCTGAAATCATACGGGAAGCAACTGCTTCAGTATAGTTTATTACGTGGTCATTCTTAAAAGGGTTAACTCAATATAGTTCTAAGTGGACTTTTTGGCTCTTTACCGCGCAGGGAAGAGAAATTTAGTTTTGATAAATAGACCTTCTGAGGGTACGTAAAAGAGCAAAAAAAATTTTGCTCGGGTCGATTCGCAACAATAGAACTACGACATCAGCAATTGGGCGATAGTACAGAGGGTCTCTCAGCGATTAACCCTTATTAAAAGGTAGATTGGACCCATGTTGGTAAGGAAGATAATTGTTCTCACCAAATGTTGCTCCTGTAGTTGCTGGAATATCTGTCACCAACCTGGAGTAGAAAATAGATACTGTTAGAGCCACAGACTTATTGAGGGCGATTCTAGAGAGGATTATGTCTCATTAACCTTCACTGATTGAGAAATATATGGATCACGGTGATCTCAACCCCTCCACATATGAAAAGTTTGTCGAGAAAATAAATAGAGGGCGACTAATAAAACATTGGTATTTAGCTAGAATGTGGAAAAGATTAGAAAGTGTCAGAAGTTGAGGAAAAGAGACTGTAAGGGCCTGTATCATATATTTCTCAAACATATATATATGCTCTTAATTTTCAACACATTGTAGTAATTTCTCAAACCCATCATGGACAGTCTTTTGAGTACTTCATTTCCTAGTTTTCTATGCTGAACTATATATACACCATAGAAAAGACATGAAACATTAGCTTGTATTAAACACTTGCATGGAGATGAATAGTTAAGATCAAGACCGACATGAGGTCACTCACACGCATAAAGTCTTAAACTAAATGTCACCATCTAAAAGGCCTGTAAAAATACCAATGAGCTGAAATGCCATGCCTAATTCACGCAAACTTTTCGAGTTGTTTCTTCTGCTAATTCATACAAAAGTAAAGGTTTGAGATTCGATGGAGCCCCAAAAGTAGCTATATATATAACCATGAAACTTTTGCAAACAGTTAGTAGGACCATCAGTTGGAAGTCGGCTCGACTCCGTAACTTCAGTCTTAAGCGTGTTGGTTCATGGTGGAGGAACCCTGCAAGCGTTGACTGTAACCTTCGTTTATTATTGGTGGAATCATGACCTTGTTGTACTTCGGGCGTAGGTGATCACGCCAATTGCTAACTTTGTTAAATCCCTATGTTTCTGTGGTTGTTTTCTCCTTGTATTTCTTCTTTCTTTTGTCAATCTTTGGTTAGGTTTTAATTACACTGTATTATTAACGTTGAGTTCAATTGATTAAATATAAATTTAATTTGCAGGGTTTTGATATATGTGGAGTTTTATATAATTTAAGTTACATCTTACAAAGAGTGTAAAAATCTTTGAGGTGGCTTTATGTAAAGGCTAGCCAAATCTATGGACTAGTCCTAGTTAAGGATTATAAACAAACCTCCAGCCTATATTGTTCCTTCTTAGATTCATTAAGACACCAAGACCTTAGAACAACAACAATAACAAAACAATTATCCCAAATTTTTGGCTAAATAGCACTTAAATACCTTATAGTTTTACTCTTTTAGCACTAATATACCCTCATCTTATTTCGTCGCATTTGTACTCTTAGTTGGTCAAAATTGGCATATTTTTACCCTATGTTCTGTAAACGTGAAAATTTTCATCCGAAACTTTCCATATAATATCCATATGTTAATTTTAGAGCTTTTTAACCATTAATATTTGTTAAATTACTCTAATGCCTACCAAAATTCTAATATAAATGTATCATAATTCTATTTCAAAAATAGAATTTAGGATGATTTAATAATAATTCAACAAACTTAATGTACTGAAAGTTATAAAATTAGTATATAAACAAAATATGGGAACTTTCGGATAAAAAAATTCATACTTGCAGAACATAGGGTATTAACGTGCAATTTTTGACCAATTCAAGGGATATAAGTGCTACAAAATATAACTGAGGGTATATAAATAGTAAGGGAGTGAAACTATAAGGTATAAAGTGCCATATTAGCTCAAATTTTTTAGAGTGGGCCACATGAATCCTATTTGTTCATTCAATTTGCTAAGAGCTATATTTAGACTTGTTCCATTCGGGCTTTGGCCCGGACCATGCCTAGACGGGTGGGCCTAGCTAGGTTTTGGGCCCGGATATAGGTCGTGTCGATGAAGTAGGACTTGGGCCCTACTCAGCCCGGGCCGGGTTCTAAGGGTTCGTGTAGAGAAACTGAGGTTCATGTTCGATCGGCTCCCTAAGTAAGGTCCATAGGACCAAGCTCAAAAGCCCGGTTCAGCCTGATCCACAGCTAGAAAAAGCAAAGTATGGCACGAGGCAGCCTGGACCCGACCTGATTCAGACAGACCAAAATAGCTATAATGACTATATTTTGATCAAATAACCAAAATACCCTTAAAAGGGTGAAAAAACGACCAACCTAGTTATTTGTATTATTAGTTTTTGTCTTTTTGAATGGAAAGAGTTGCTAATGATAGTGATATAAATGGATATGTGCCAACCTACTTAGGATGTACTCATCTATTGTGTTGCCATAATTTCAATAAAATATTGTAATTCTTAGTGATTAATAATAAAGAATTTATTTTTAATTATTTTTATTTCTATAAAATTTACAAATTATATAATTATATAAGTGATTAATAATACGTTTGAATTTCTTGGCATCTTTTTAATTACTTCTGAAGTTACATTTTTTAACAAAAAATCTGATCTCTGTCTTTCATTTTTTTACAAAAAAAAAAAAAAAATGAGCTGTCCTGTTGCCCGACTAGCATTTGACCAAGTTAAAGAAAAAAAGAAAAATCGGGCTGGCCTGTTGCCCAATTAGCATTGACCGGACCCAGACTCTGACCCGACTCGGGCCCTTTGGGCCTGGGTCTAGGTGGGGCTTTTTGCCCGTTTCAGAATTGGAAATTTGGGCTGGTCCGTTTGAACATGCCTAGCTATATTAACGAGGAAATAAAGTCGTCCTACATTATTATCTTCTCCACTAAAGTTAATCATTATCTTTCTTGACTGTTTCCAAGAAAATTCTCTAGCACTAAATTTACTTCTCTTTTCTTCACTAATTGTAATCTTATTAGTTCTTTTAATTGACCCATGTAATGGTATATTTATAGTGGTCATTATATTCATAGAGATTAGGTTAATTGAACCATGTAATGGTATATTTATAATGGTATATTAGGTTATGGGCTATCTAATGCAACTCTTCGTTATAAATGAAAGTTTGAGGTACGCATTTTAATTTGAATGACGTTTTTAATATTAGAAATTTTACTGCTGGTATAAGAGAATGGCTAAAAGATTTCAGTTTTTGTTATGCTTGTCTGTACGGCAATGCATATTACAAGGTATGTTTAGGTGCCGCAGATCATACATGTTACTATGTATTATACAGTCTATGACATTCATTATATATGTATCCGTTTACTAACAATCGATGCAAGTATGATTACAAATAAGTCCCGGCTAAGAAAATTCATACATGACCAAACTGAATATAAATATGAATTAAATTTGAGGAAAAAAAGATGGATACATTTCAAATATGAGAGGAAAAACTCAAAAAAAAGATTTTTTTTTTGTTTGATAAATGATACGAGAGTTATCTATATAAAATAAACAAATAAACAACTAAAATCATAATTCATTAATGAATTCAACATGCCTACAAACTTAAAAGTTAGATCTCTGGGGGATTTTACTTAGAGTAGTTGGAACAGCTAATACGTACATTTGCAACATGATATAGTTTGAGCTCTTGATGTCGGAACACTCTTCTGTTAGAATGCTATAACAACGCCCCTATTCGGGCCTATTTTCCTTTCCCACGTGCCAATATCAACAAGCCCAATAGAAGTTTATTAACTAATTAATCTTTTTGTAGTAATACCGTTGAGTTATTTAGATACTAAGTGAATTAGTCAATGTTGTAAGGACCTAGTTGTAAGAATGCATTAATATAAAAGAGGGGTTTCTCAATGAGAGAAACTAACCCTAATATTTTTCCCAATCTCTTCATGGTATCAGAGCCATGTGGCGGCTCATCTACCTCCTCCTTCGAGCTCTGACGACGCTGCCATTTCCCAGTTTCTGATCGAGCTCTTTCTTCCTAATTTCCGAGCTAAGGCTTTCCTCAAACCCAGCATCATCGCTGAAGTAGAGAGAGAAGGGAATCGTTGAACTCACCTCGCTGAACTCGACGACCTGACTGCGCGCCGTCAACGTCACGAGTGACGACGCTGTCCTAGGTGGGGACCGGCCGCCGTCAACGATGCCTTGGTGCAGCCGTCGAGTTCTCGCTGCTGCTGACGGAGTCGCCCTCGCCTAGGGTTCTGTAGCCTCGGATCTGATCGAGGATTGGTGGACGGAGGATCTGGCGCGGATTTTCCAGTCACAGTACCAGCACGAGAGAGACTTGGAGACTTGGCCAGTACGAAGAGGGAGGAGGTTCTGTTGTTTGGCGTGGGTTTGGAGGAGACAGTTGTTTCTCCGATCACAGAGATTTTTTTGGGCTTTCGATGGGTTTTTTTTCCCTTTTAAATTGCTTTCTTGGTTACTGTTGCTGAAAGAGAGGGGGAGAGAAAGGGGACCAGGGATTAAAAGAGGGGGTTTGTGATTAAGTAGTCTGATTAAAAGATCTATTTGGTTCTTAATTTGTAATAGATTATTTAGGTTTCCTCGACAAGTCAGTCCTAGAACTGATGAGAGAAGAGCTGATATCTCACTTTGTTGAGATATCTTGCTTTTGGTTCTTGTTTCCTTGGTGAAACGAGAATTCTTATTGATCTATCTCTCTTGTTGTGCTGTCGAAGTGCTGCCGAAATTTTTTCATTGCGCACCGCAAGAATACAAGTTGGATCGATGACGAAGACTGAAAAAAATCCGATGGAGGAGATCATCAAGAAGTTGAATAACCTGAGGGTATTTCAGATCGAGAAGGAGATCAGCGCTATAGTCCAAGGAGAGAGGACTGTACAGGAGTACGCTACAGAGCTGGAGCGCTTGTGGTTCGATCACGATCACTTCTCGCCCCTAGCGAGCTGCAAGGACCCGGAGTGCAAGGAGCGTGAGGCCTCTTTGCAGAAGAGGACCATGTTGTTTCTTCGAGGTTTGGCTCCAGCGTATGAGCAGAGGACGACATTGCTACTAACCCAGACGAAGATCCCACCATTGGAAAAGGCAGTCTCGGCTATGATACAGGAGGAGAGTCGTATCAGGCTACAGTCTGGGATAGGTGGACTTACAGGGGAGAAGTCTGCACTGGTGGTATCCAACCCGGATAACACTGGATTCAGAGGGGAGACTAGGCAGTGCTT